CGCTTTGTGACTGATGGGGGCAGGGCCTTGGTGGGGCTGTGTTGAGGTTAACGGAGGGGCTCTCTGTTTCTGAGAAACCACACCCTTCTTTTTTTCCTTTTCTATAACAGAGATGCGGCCCCGTTATGAGAACAGAACCTGAAGCTGACAGGCTCTTGGGAGTTGGTGCTCAGGCCCTGGCTGTGGATGGGAAACAGCATCCCTGCAAAATGAGAACGAGGAGAGTGCTGGGTTGTCACCTGATTCCGCCTCTCCAGAGTGTCCTTGTGCATCTCTGGTTAGTGGTGGCACAAGGCTCTGGCAGGCAGAGGGCACCCAGCGGAAAATTCCCAGCTCCAGTCACCTTAACGAGAAAGGCATTCTTGCCTCCTGTGTGGCTCAGAGGTTTCCAGGGAGAAAGGGAAGGAGAAAAGCAAGCCCTTCAGTCCCCTGCCTCAGTCCGGACAGCAGCATGCGTGTGACCGGAGCTGGGAGGAGAGACGACTGACCCAGATCGCCCCGGTCTGAATGCATAAGCATCAGAAATCTCAGACCAGAGTCAGCCCACCAGCGCCTTAGCTTCCTCCGTGGAAAACGTGTTCCCATTTATGATGCTGACATAGTCAACTTACAAAGATAGATTGGAAGAAAACGCCTGCAAAGCTGTACGCCTCAGATTTAAAAAAAAAAAAAAAGAACTCTGATTCACAACTGTTAGCTTAATGGTAACAAATTCATTTTCTCTGATAGCACTTGCTCTGAAATTGCTGCTGCGGGAAGGAAAAAAAAACAAGGCCCCCGGCTTTCACTTATTCATTCAACAACCGTTTGGTAAGCATCTGCTCCGTGCTGGTGCTGTTCTAGCTGGGGAGGAAGAATGATGGAGTAGACAGCTCTTGTTTTCATGGGGCTCAGGACAGACCTGTGAGATCGTATGAGCAGCAGGCTCTGCTGATGGTCGGTGGGTTAGTGGGGGGCCCAGAAAAGGCCCCAGAGGAGAAGATCCCCCAGCTAAAAGGCACAGAGGTGGGGAGGACCAGGGAGTGGCGAGGGCAGAGGGCCCTGCTCAGGGACCGGGCTTCCTCCCAGCCCGTGAGGGTAGTTTAAAGCAGAAAATGACCAGGTCAGTCACTTTACAAGAAAACCCTTGTGGTGGGGAAGGGGACATTCATTACCTATAGCGTGCCGGGTAGAAATTTATTTGGAAATGGTTTGCTTCTGTATCAGTTGTTTCCCTTGTTCTCAGGGCCTGGCTGATGACACACAACCAGAACAGCCTAGAAAACTCTTCTCTCCCTACCCCACACCCAGGTGGGTTGCTATGCAGTCTGGATTCTGGAAGCCGAACGATAGGAGGTTGGGGCACAAGGGAGTCCTATGTAGCACGCTCCCAATTATGCGATTCCTTTGTGGTCTAACTGCTGGGGCAGGTGAGGAAGAATTCCACCCGCAGCCCAGGCCAGTGATCCTCTGGGAGGCAGTACTTGACGGAGAGTGTACAGGGCAGAGCCCTCTGGGGCCCCTTTCTTCCACAGCTGCCAAGAAACCCTGAGACTCCGGGACAGGCAGGGGCGGCTCTGAATGGAAGAGCTGAATCCCAAGTTCCATTAATCTCTGGTGAGATTTTTCTCCAGGGCAGGGTTTCCCCAGGGTGTCACTAGCCTTAGCAATGGGGACCTCAGGGGCCAGATAATTCTCTGGTGGGGGCGGGGGTGCTGTCCCGTCCAATGTGGTATGTTTAGTACTACCATCCTTGGTTGCCGGTACATCCCCAAGTTGTGACAACCAACGATGTCTCCAGACACTGGAAGCATTCTTATGGAGTGAGAGTGCCCCCGAGTTGAGAACCACTGTTTCCAGAGGATGGTTTTGCATTCTTTTCTTGCTGGACCTCACAGCAGTGCTCAGTCCAACGGATTACGTGCTTCCTCTTGAACCTTGCCCTCCTTTGGTGCACCCTCCTTGTTTTCCTCCAACTCTCTGCCGGGTTCCCTGTAGATTCCTGGGGCCTCCCATCCTCTTCCTGATCTCCAAATGCTGCCATCCCTTCATGCTCAGCTCTGAACCCCATTTCCTGATTATACTTTATGCTTTCTCCCTCTCATTCATCTCACCAGCATTTTAAGTACCTTCTGTTTTCCAATTATTACCACATTCGTCATCATCCCAGATCTCTCATCTATGTTCTAGACTTACTTCTACTTGCTTTGGATGTCTCGTTGGCATCACAAAATCCATCCATCTTTCTCAGAAATCCACTCCTCTTCTCACCCCTGTCTATCTGCTGGCAGAGCTATTAAACCTTCAGGTCGTCCTGACACCTGCTTTTCTCTTGTCTTCATGTCCAGTCCATGACCACTCCCTGTCAGGTCTAGCTTCAAAATATACCTCAAAACCATCTGTTCTCAGCCCTCCAGTCCAAGCCACTACACAATGTGAAAAACCAATAAGGCAGAAAACTCCAACGACCTCCGTGACTTCCTGACTTCCACACCGCTTCTTTCCAGTCCCTTCTCCATCCAGAGCAATCTTTTATAAGCACAAATCAGACTATATGACACTCAGCTTTAGTTTCTGCAAAGGCATGCCACTGCACTTGAATAAGATCTAAGTGTCTTTACATGGCCCCAACCTCCTTGGTGCCGTTTGTCCTTTCATTTCTGCTGCCGCCGCCATGTTGGTCTTCCTTTGCTTCCTCATGTGTGTCACACATGTGGTGCCACACATGCTATTACCTTGACCTGGAGCACTATCCCCCAGCTCTTTTCATCCTGCGGGTCTCGGTATGTCATTCCTTCCAGAACATCTTTCCTGATCCCATCCTCTTTTTTTTTTTTTTTAAGATTTTTTTTAAAGTTATTTATTTAACAGAGAGAGCACAAGCAAAGGGAACAGCAGGCAGAGCAGGCAGAGGGAGAAGCAGACTCCCCGCCAAGTGAGGAGACTGATGTGGGACTCGATCTTAGGACCCCAGGACCATGACCCAAAATGAAGGCAGCCGTTTAACCGACTGAGCCACCCAGGCGACCCGCGATCCCATGCTCTTAAATTCAGTTTTCCCATCACGGTCTCTTTCCCCATCATGCATGCTTCCTTATGGCACTGGTGACTCTCAGGTCCGTGTGTCCTCATGTGATTTTCTATTGTTGGCTCCCTGCCAGACTGGAAGGATACCGAGGGAAGAAGGGACTCTCAGTTGGCTATTCTATTCATTCCCGTGTCACTGTCTTAACACTGTATGTGACACTCAATGAGTATTCAGCAAATACTTATTGGATAAATGACCATTCACGTCTGCATCCCTGAAAAGAATACTTGATGACCAAGAGAAATGAAGGACGATGAAGAATGAACTAAGAGCTCCTCGCTTGTCTGTGTACATGAAAAGAAACTTTCCGGAGCTGGTTCCTGGGAGCATGAAGCACAAGGAGATGAATCAGGCACCCGCTGACTAGAAATGAGACTTGTTGATTTTGTCATTAGTATTCCATATTTATCCTAAGACTTTCCACCCAGTCAGGAGTTCCCTCCTGGGAAGATCGCGGGCAGATCACACCAAAGCAATCCAAGAGGAAGAGCTGAAATTAGTTCAGTGTTCTTCCTGGGAGACCCACGCTCCCAAAGAGGTCAAGATGCCCAGGAAGGACAGCAGCGCCCACGCAGGCTGAAGGAGCCAAGGAAGTGATGGGGCACGGCTCATACCATGCGTCGCGCTCTGATGCACCACAAGAGCCCCGGTGGATCCGCTATGAAACCACAGAAGTATCTCCTCCATAGAATGAGACAAGGGGAGGCCACGTTTCCCCTCCTCGTTTGCAGGCTCAGTTATGCGGAGCATTTCACTTGGTTTTTCTAAAAATTCATGAGTGCGGTTGGCTATGGAGCGCGGTGTCAACGGATGACGTTACGACGCTCAGCCTTTGAGTCAAACCGAGAGTAATTCACATCAGCCTCTCCCAGTCTTTTGAAGAAGGGACAGCAGCTGCACAGCACACGCCTGCAATTAAGCAGCTAAGCATTTGCTAAGACCAGGTTAGAATCCCAAAATGTGGAGGGGGTAAAAAAAGGGAAAAAACAAAAACAAAAACTACAAAACTGAACCACATTGGGAGTCCAGTTGGTAAGAACAGTGGAATTCATTTTCAACAGGTTTATTTATTATATCTTAAATCAGCCTTAACGAATCCAGGAGAAGAGTGTCAAGGTCCGTGTGTTACGGCTCCAGGATGAGTCTGGGGCCCCGAGTCCACACATATTGTGATTGGTTGTCCTGTTGCTAAACAACCATCATTCAGAGCGGGGATGTCACTTACAAGGGGACAGTCACCCACATCCCGCCAGCAGCCGTTCATAAAGTGCTAGTGGGATATCAAGGGTGACTTGTACCAACAGTAAAATAATAAGATTGGGCTGAGGCAAACCATGGATCCCGGTAGGGTGGGAGCTACAGAAAAAAGGGAGGCTCTTCAGTTTCTTCCCAGCTAAGAATGAAAAAAAGGAGAAAACCCTCTCAAAGGCACTTCCTGTTTTGAGAGAAAGTTTCCATGTCAAGATGAGCTGTTGGGAGTTTCAATATTCACTCATAGGATGGAGCGAACATTTTCTTTGGGTTACACATAGAGAAACACATAAAACCCAGCCCTGGCCACCCCTCCGCCCACCCCGGACATGGCAGATGGGGAGGCAGGCCGCGCAGGCCCTGGCAAAACAGGAAGTTCCAGACGGCTGCTGTTCGACAGAGGCCCGGATGCTGGATGGTTCAGCCTGGTGCATGTTTTGCTGCCCAGAAGGATGGCAGAGCGGGGGAGACAGGAAATGGAAATGGAAATGGAGTGGCAGCCAGGGCCCCAAGGAGTAGGAACTTAATTTTGAGACTCGCATTAAATAATCCAGCAAGATGTGAGGCCAAATTGAATCAACACGGAGATGGATGAAAGTCTCCCAGGTTAAGACTCACTTCATAAATATCTGCTGAATGAACGAGTGACTCTCTCCCATCTGTCATCCCATTTATGGCTTACCTCCGATTCTTTGTAGTAACGTTCTGGAATCTCGTCGCAGGCGATATCAATAAAGCAAACTTCTCTCTCTAGGTCTTTGGCTTCATTGTCAAAAATCTGAAAGAGCAGAGCGAAAGATCAAAGGTTAGTATCCTCAAGGTGCCTACGGTTGGCAGGACCGTGCAATAACACCCCACAGAGCATCTTTACGTGGCTCGGCGCTCCGGCTGGCGCTCTCTGCCTGCCTCAGAATGTGCACGGATCATGAAAGGCGTTGATTCATCGCTTACGTTTTGTCACATCAGAGGCAGGTACAGCATCCATCACCGCTTGGTGAGGGGCAGAAGGAAAAGTGGTCTGTTTTTAGAAGTCCAAGAGCGGAGAAATAAATCTCTTCCAAAAGTGTCTTCCAAAAAATGAGGTCTGCTGATTGTTGGCAGTGAATCTGAACAGGGGGAGTGGAGAGGCTACAAAGGGTCTGGCTGGAGAGGAGACAATGAGCAGTAATGGAGCCCAAGATTTATGGAAGAGAAATGTGGGTTTTCTTTTTTTCCCGTTAACATTTTTATATATAACTTCACAAACAACAGAGGCTCTTGCAGGAAAGACAGACAAATAGAAAGAAAATAAAGACGGTCCACAACCTCATTATGCAGGAATAAACACACGTATTACTCTTGATCATTTAAGAACATGATTTCCAGGGCGCCTGGGTGGCTCAGTGGGTTAAAGCCTCTGCCTTCGGCTCGGGTCATGATCCCAGGGTCCTGGTATCAAGCCCCGCATCGGGCTCTCTGCTCAGTGGGGAGCCTGCTTCCCTTCCTCTCTCTCTGCCTGCCTCTCTGCCTACTTGTGATCTCTGTCAAATAAATAAATAAAATCTTAAAAAAAAAATAGAACACGATTTCCTTGGGACATGCAGGACTAAGAAGGTAGAGGTTGGGGAGAAACTGAGGCAGCTTTCTGCCTGACTACTCTAGGCTCCACTGGCCCCAGGATATTTACCACTTGCAAAGAAATATATAAGACAGCCATATACAAACATATATACATATTTTTTGGTGGAAAGATTAAGTTCTTCCAGTTTTTCCCATTGCCATTTTTCTGAACTAAAGGGATGATCCTCCCAGCCCCCCAAAGGGTGGAAAACAGATTGTTTTCAAAACCATTTCATCCTTGGAAGTCGTCTTAGCTGTATCCCTACCGCACTGTTTGGCTGATTCCTGCAGGAGAATCAACCGTGAACACTGATTAAATGTGATTCTTCGGTAGAGAATGAAATATTTTGGAAGCACAGGGTGGTTGATGCCTAAGAACATTCTCTGGACACAAATTCAGTGCCTGTTAATAACATGATCTCCCACAGGACAGCACGTGTAACGCCCTTTACAATGCCACATTCTCCCTGGTCTGATTCTCCACTTGAAACTACTAGTCCTTCCCAAACACTTTCTGAATAATATTTGCGTTGGTATTTATGCTTCAAGTCTGATGCGTGCGCTGTTGCCCATTTTCTTCTCAAATGGTCAGAGACTGGACTCTTCAGCCTTGTCCAAGGAGACTGACTGCGCATTCTCCCCTGAAGGGGCCACTGCGTTTTCCTTAAAGGGAGAGAAGGACAGGTTCTTGGATCACCTCTGGCTCCTTCCACTGCCACTTGAAGTCAAGTGCTTAGGGGATACTCCTAGAGTATTAGGAAGGACAGGTGGATGGCTTTGAAATGAAACAGGGAGACTGCAGGGAGACGAGTTCAAGTTTGAGTGGAGAACTAAATTGTAAAATGAAATACTTGGTCTCAGGTTGTTTGTGTGAGTCTCTCTCTCCCCCTCCGTCTCCTCCATCTCTCCACCTTCCTCCCCTCCCCACCCCCAATCTACCCACTCTTTTCTCTTCCAAGAAAGACATGTGCCTCGTTAACAAAACAAAACAAAATGAAACACCTCAGAGGGAAATGAGCTTCGAGAGAGTAAATTACAAAAGAAGTTGGAGAGATGTGACATTTATTGGTGGTAAAATTTATGGTACTGAAAGAAGGGGAAATAAAGAGGGGTTAAGGGAGCTAGTGACAGATTGTGTGGCTTTTCCTAATTGAATTCAAGCATTTTTGATCACCTATTATACTGGCTATCATATTATTGCCTTTCCACTGCCGAGTAACCCGTTAGTCTCTGCTCGGAGCTAACGGACTGGACCCTGGAGGCACTTCTTCACAGCAAGTAGGACATGAAGCCATTTACTGAAGGGACCCCACAGGAAGAAGGGGGTTTCTCTTCCTGGTTTTGGACCTTCTCCTGCTACAGAGTCTCTCAGTGGGGACACTGCGTGGTTCTGTCTCAACTACATGCCCAGAGCACATCGTGGCCTGGTGGCCTTGCAGCTCTGGCCTTTACTGTGACCTTCCACATGGACCACCATGGGCTTGAGGGTTCACAGTGGCCGTGGCACTCTGACTCTACACACCTGCCTGCCAGTCTCATCTCACCAGAGCCCAGAGGGCTGTTTGCTACTGCCTAGCAACTGAGAACCAGCTCTGGTCCAGGAGACCCAGTCAACTTCTCCAACAACCGGTGGGCTATGACCACAACCTCTCCTGTGAAGTCTCCGCCCCAGCCACGGACAGGCCCCCACCCCCCCGCCAAGTTTGTTCTTCCTTGTGTCTTCTCCCTCAGTCTTAGGTACCCTTTGGAGTTCTTGTTACTTCTTTATAGTTACTCCTATCAAAGTTGAATAATTCCTTATACTACGCTCCCCCTTATTCAAATTATTGTGTGCTTTTATGCCTCCTGATTGGGCCCTGAAGCAGAATGAAGGATTTGCTACAAAAAAAGAAGAGACTAGAAAAGCCAGGGAGGGGAGATGCCCTCCCTTGTTGAGTCAACAAGTACAACATCATCAGGACCCTGACAGAAAACCAAGCTGAGAAAGTTCTCATTTTTCAGATGAGAAAACCAAGGCTCAAAGACGTAAAGAGCTTTGCCTGAGGTCGCACGAGAGAGTCAGCAGAGAAGTTCAGCTTCAGGGCAAGTCTCCAGCCTTCACAACCAGGCTCCTCCTGTGACAAAAAGCTGCCTCTTGGCACCCAACCGGGAAGATAAATACCAGTCAGAAGTGCTTCCTGCTTCTTTCCAGAAAGATGAACTTGGAATCTGGTTCTCTCCCTGCTACTAATAAAATTTATGATCTGAGTCGCTGAGCTGGGGAACTGCCCCCCCAAACCTGGAAACCTTTCCGCTTTGTTGAATAGCAGAAGTAGTAGTAGAGATACTAGTGGGACAATCTACGCAGGGGCCCTTCAGCTCGGATTCTGGTCTCCTTCCTTAACAGGACACGTCATTTGCATTGAAGGTGAACTGCCTCTCTGTGACCCATTTCAGGGCGGGGCTCCCAGCACTTGAACAAAGCCACAGAAAAATCACTTTGAGGCTTGAGATTTAAAAATCTCTTCCGGCTTGAGATTATAAGAGTTCTAATTTTCAATAAATAATTAATCTCCCAGTGGTTAAGAGATTTTCGGGAGATGCTCTTAGATGCTCAAGAAATGCCTATTGAATAAATGGGCGGGATTAGCTTTTACTTTCCAGAGAGGAATCTAGGGCAGGAATATGACTTACTAATTGATCTCTGTTTCCTTTTATGAACGGGGGTTCTATTTCCTTGCTTGTGAGAACACTAACTTTCCGTCATTCTCAAAAGGGGGCTCAACAGAGAGTGGAAACTTCACAGTATTGGCTGATAGGGACTATATTGGGAATCAGGTGAGCTGAGTTTGAACTTGGGCAAGAACTCTGCACCTCCTTGTGGTCTCCATATTCTCACCTGAAAACAAAAGGCTTTGCCTAGATGAATGGGTACCAGGAAGTTGTGAAACATCCTAGAACTGTACCCCAAATCTGGGGAGGTGTATTTTTCTGGAGCAAGGGTTCAAGCCCTTTTTCATCTGATTATCCAAGAGATCCGTAGCCCCAGTGAGGTTGTGCTCAAGAGACCCAGATGACCACTACAATTCTTTCCAGACAAAATGTCTGATGTTGAGTGACCGACCTATGCGTCATGCTGGTCACCTGCGTCTTGCTTTTTGGCTCGTTCCTTCTCTACCCCTTCACCCCACAGCCAGCTGACCTGGGAGGTGCACAGTGAGGCTGCAGCAGAGAAATAAACAGGGGTGGTGGTCATGAAATAGTATAATCGAAGCCCATATCCAGGGTGAAATAGGAGAATTTTCATGCTCAGTGTAAGGGCATGATCTAGAATTAAGCCAACAGTGTTGCAGTCAGAGGCTAAGTCAGGCTCCAGAAGAAAAGAGCAAGAGTAGTTATTCCCCCCATATTCACTTGGGCGGGGGGGGCTTCTCCAGCAGCAATGGCAGGAGCTGCCGGAGATCTGGTCAAACCATTGGCTCTTTGAGCTGGAATACGAGATCTGCTGGGACAGCTTTACGATGAGATGCCTCTTGTTGAAACGTCAAGTCAAAGCTCCACCAGGACTGCATCGGACACAGGTTCTGTGCACCTTGACTGCCTTGGGAACTCCCTGGGCAGAAGCTGCTCCCTTCTGAGATGGGAGTTGGGTTTGGGAGTTAATCGCGGTACTCTCCTTAGGTCCCCTAGAATAATGTTCCCATCTTGGGGACATGCCCACCCATGGATGATCTGCAGTGGATTTCGGTGCCAATCTGGTTGACTCTCCTGACCTCCCCCCATGGCAACGAGCACGCAATAAACAAACTCCTTTTGATATGAACTGAGCAACATGACAACGAGAAGGCGATCTCCTGAGTAAATATTATCTTAAAGATTCCAAATAAAAAGAGAGTAATCTTCCCTTTTTTGTAAAGCATTAAGAACATTAAGCATGCAGCACCTTTAAGATCTTCATATACTTTGACCTACTAAGCTTAAGCTTTGAGAATTTATCTCAAGAATCTTAAATAAAGGAAAAGATTTATGCACAAAGATTTTCACCCTGACATTATTTTAATGGCAAGGAAAAAAAGAGAGAGAGAAAAGAAGCAAACAGTTTAAATATCCCAGTATGGGTGAACAGCCACGTAAAGTACGATAAATCCATCTGATGCACTACTATGTAGTATCCACTAACCACTCCATTCTTAAAAATGA